CAGGCCTCTGGTTCTGGCTCCTGGAGAGGAGGCTGCCCTGAGGGGCCTGGTCGGGCTCTGGACACTGCCCAGCCAGTCACTCTTCTCTTTGGGAAGTGGCAGGTTTGAGGGGGCCCCTGGTGTCATAGCTTCGCTGGTGGCCCTGTCCTGCTAGATCACACCCCATCTTCTTAAGACAGCAGCCAGCCATGGAGTAGAGATGGTCCTGGTCTGGCTTAGCTTTTGCTGGGGACTTTGAGGCTGGTACCCTCTCCTTGCTGGCTTCCCCTCCCACCCTCTCCTGCACCATCTCCTTCCTTCCCAGTCGAAAGGGGAAAGCAAATATTCCACTGAGCATGTGCCAGTCCCGGCCCTGTTCCCTGAGGCCACAGCACGTGGCTGAGAACAGGGGGTTTGGAGTCAGGAGAGGCATGTTCAAATCCTGACTTTGCTACATACCAGCCACGTGACCCTGGATGGCTGTGGCTGGAGCCCTGGAGCCAGTGCCGGTGCCTCAGTTTCCTCATCTGTAAAATGGGGTAGCAGTAGCACTTGCCAGTTGAGTGGACTCGGCTGAAGGTGAAGGGCGACTCTCCAAGTTGTTGATTGATTGTATTTAAAGCCTGTGAGTGAAGGTTCAGCCCTTGGGAGGCAGCCATGGTCTAAAGGGTTTGTGACTGCATCTCTTGTCCTTACTCAAGGTCATGTTAAGTAATCAGCAGATAACACCAGCCTGAGATTCTCAGTCCTTTGCTGGTGAGGTGGCATTTTTTTTTTTTTCTTTTTTTGCCCCAAAGCCAAAGAATGGGAAACCCTGGACCCTGTTATAGAAGAGATGGACAAGGACAGGAGCTTCCCTATTGCACATACCTGACAAGCCCTGATCCTCGTCCATGGTTACATGGGTTCCGTGTTCTGGGGCCTCTGGGCTCCCTTCCTCATGCGCTACTGTAAGGTTTAAATGACATATTATTAATACATGCTATTTCATTAGAAAAGTGAAAAGTGTTATTCGCTCAGTCATGTCCAACTCTTTGGGACCCCAGGTACTGTAGCCCACCAGGTTCCTCTGTCCATAGGATTCTCCAGGCAAGAATCCTGGAGTGGGTAGCCATTCCCTTTCTCCAGGGGATCTTCCCAACCCAAGCATCGAACCTGGGTCTCTTGCATTGTAGGCGGATTTTTTACCATCTGAGCCACCGGCGAAGCCCTTGACTCGAAAACTCCTTGGCAAACAAGCACTCAAGAACACTTGAGATGTGTTTGCCATCATTACCCTTAACTCTGTTGTTAACCTGGGGCCTAGCACACAGCAGGCGCTCAATAGGTGTACATTAGTTCACTGCTGGGTTCTGATGCCCTAGTTCTCAGGACCATGGGAGGCACTCTGAGCAGAGCGGGGGATGCTGGGAGGAGGGCCGGCTCCCCAGGTGGGGTTGCCGGGAGGTGGAGCTGAGATGGGGGCGGGGGTGGAGGTAGGAGGCGGGGTGGGGACCTGGGCCCAGTGGCTGCTGCACACACGAAGCCTGGACGTCTGGGGACACGTGGGGTTTCGGTGGGGTCAGGAATCCAGCCGTGGCTCAGGCACCCTGTGGCTGGGGAGTCTCTTGTCTGAGGGTCACTTCCGCTCCAGGGTCATCATGTCCCTGGGATGCTCTCTGCCCCTCTGTGTCCCCTCTGTGCAGTGGGGGATGGGATCAGGGGCTCTCTGATGCCCGGGATGGGGTTGTTCTGTGGCAAAGGTCACCTGGAGAGGCGTGAGGGTCTGGGTGGCCAAGTGGACAAGTTGGCAGGGTCCTAACCACAGGTGCCAGGCAGGGGCCCTGAGCTTCGCCATGGGAGGCCCTCGTGGAGCTGGCACCCGGGCCCTGGCCTGCCCTGTTACCCAGAAATCCTGTACCACCCTCTCTGGGCCTCCGTCCTCCCTTGCACTGTCCCAGAGGCCCGGAGCTCTGCTTGACGGCTTTCAGAATTCCCTGGTGCTTGTGACTAATGATGGCAGCTCTGGGCACTGGGCCAGGCCACCAAATTGCTCAGCCCAGGACCTTCACTCCTTCCACCACTTTCCTTCCCCGAGCCACGTGGTCTGGTTTAACTTCAAGGAGGGCTTATGCCTTTGATCCCTGAGCCAGTGGGGAGTGTGTCAGGAACCGCGGACAGCGATGCCAGCTCTGGCCTGACTTCTGAGCCTCGCGGGCTCCTGGAAAGGGCCCAGCCCTGCCATCTGGGATTTCCCTGAGTGCCTTGGGGCAGGGCTGAGACTGTCCATCCCTGAAGCTGAGCCATCTAGAGGTGAAAGCCGCTCCATCTGCCCCTTTCGAGGGACGTGCACCAGAGGCGGCCCTGTGGCAGCAGCTCTGGCACTGCCAAGTCAGACCGTTCAGGCAACTCACTGACTGTGACCTTGGCCAGGTCACTCCAGCTCTGCAGGCTGTTTTTCCATCTGCTCCCTGTGGGCTGTGCTGAGAGTTAGGGCCATGTCCCTAGGGGCCTGGCAGGCAGTGGTCATGACTACTGCCAAGTTCATTAACACGATATGAGCTAGACCAGGTGGGTGGGGAGCACTTCGGGAAGGAGGCTGAGCCACCCCTAGGTGAGTGGGGAAAGGTGCTTCGGGAAAGCTTCCAGAAGAGGTGACAGATGATCCAGGCTGTGAAGGATGAGTAGGAGTTCACTGGTAAAGTTGGTAGAAAGATATGCATGTTGGTCGAAAGGTATGCATGCATACCCCATGCCAAGGGTATGCTTGGGGACAGCAAGAAGTTCAGTGCATGCCAAGGCTGGTGAGAGGGAAGGCCAGAAGAGTTCATTGAGGTCAGAGTGTAGGAGGCTGTGGGTGTCAGGTTAGGGAGGGTGATGGGAGCCATCCTCCCATCACCTCTGAAAGGCTTTTGAATAGGGGAGAGGTCTAATCAGAATTGGGCTTCAGCCAGATTAATTTGGCGATGACGAAATGGGACAAGAACAGCAGGCTCTGGTTCTGTAGCTCAGCTCTGCCTTTTTCCAGCTGGGGTCCTTGGGCAAAAGTGTGTTCCCTTTTGTGACTCTGTTTCCTCACTTGTAACTGGGGCTTATAATAGGGCTGGAGGATTAAATGCAATAACACTTGCAAAGAGCTTGGATAGTATTGGCCACACAACAAACACCTTGGGATTGTGCGCAGGGCAGATTGGAGGGGCAGGGACCAGAGCTGGAAGTCAGCAGGGAGGCTGGGCAGGGCTTAGATGAGAGATGCTGAAGATAAACTGAGGCCTCAGAGGAGGGCAAGGAAAGACACAGGCAGAGACAAGCCCTGCATCACAGAGGAGAGCAGGTCTGGTGTGAGTCTCAGCTCTGGCGCTTCCCAGCTGTGCGAACTAGGAGAGGGGCCTCCTTTCTCTAAGCCTCAGTTTTCCTCATCTGTGAAATGGGCCTGATGATCTCCATTGCTTAGGGCCTTGGTAAGGAAGAAGTGGGAGTGCCAGGCTCCTGGAAGATACCTGCCAAGTGTACTTTGAACTTGAAGCTGGCAGGAAGGGCAGAGGGAACAGAAGAGGTGGCTGGAAAGAGAGAGAGCACGACAGTCAGGGGGAAAAGGCAAAGAGGATGGGGGACGTTTGCTGGTAATTAGAACGTTTGAACTTCAAAAAAGTTAATTAATGATGAAGCTGCTGCTGGAGCGATGCTCAGGCTAGAAGGGGGCCTTGGCAACGACTGAAGTTAATTACAGGCTGTGGGAGAGTGGCAGAGGTTTGAGGGGGCAGGAAAGAGCAGAGTTGGGGCAAGGAGGGTCTGACAGAGAGGCAGGAGGGAAAGCAGTATCCCAAGGTGAGCAAGGACTGGGGATGGGAGGGAGGGTGTTGCCAAGGAAACCATGTCACTCTTCCATTAGGCAGGAGATCCTCACCCTGCTGCTGGGTAGGGTCTGGCTGACAGTCTGGCTGGCATAGCTGTGTCTGAGCTCAGAGAAAGGGCTTTGAAGTTGAGGGGCCAGAACTTTCACTTGGGGACACTCAAGAATCTTTGGGTGTCAGAGTGGGCTGCACCTAGAGAGGTTTACTCAATCACAACAGACATTTATTGTGCTCCTCCTAGATGCCTGTCACTGTTGGGGCATGACCCGACAAGGGGAACCCTGTCCCCTTGGAAGGTAGGTTCTAGCCTTGGATAAAGACAACGAGTGTGTCAGCAAGTTAGCCCGTGAATGACCCAGGCCCTCGGGTCCTCCTGGGTTCTGGCTCCCCTGGTTCTAGGATTCTAGGTTTGGGAGGGAGGGATGGGGCTGAACATCAGTGGGCTGTGTTCTAAGACTGAGCAGGAACCAGCCAGGAAGGAGCAGGGTGTTATAGAGGAGAGTGGCCTGGCCTGGAAAGCCCACTCACCCGGGTCCAAGCACGTGCCCTTGAGGCCCCACCCAGGCTGCTGGCTGCAGGAGCCTTTCTGCCTGGACCGGCCTAAGGAGGCTGAACCCCACCCTGACTCATGCAAGGGCCGGGGGAGCCCAGGCACAGACCTGCTGGAGTCTGGCAATGGGCTGCAGCCCAGCCACAGGAGAGGACAGAAGTACAGGGTGTCTGGCCAGTCTCAGCCACTCTGGACGGGCCCTCTGCAGGGTTCAGCTCCAGGGTTTGGGCAGAGATGGAGGGGGTGTGGGGAGGGGAGGGGAAGGATGGTCAGAGAAGGGAGGCAGTGACAGTCAGAGGAAAGAAGTCAGAGATAGAGAGGCCGGGAGAGTCTGGAGATGGTCCCCCAGGCAGGTCTCTGTGGGTCTGGGGGAACTCAGGCTGGGGCAAAGAGGTCGGGGTGGGGAGGGCGTCCTGGCAGGTGGTGGCTTGGTGGGGTTCAGGTTCTCTGGTGGGTTTGGCCATGTCTGTTGTGACGGGTTGGGGCAGGCTGTTTAAAAGGTATTTGAAAACATAGGTACTGACCCACCAGAGAGGAACCTGGGGGGCAATGGGGTGGACACCTGTGTTGGTGGCAGGAGAGTGTCCCCCAGCTGTTGTGTCCTTGACTTGGTGCGCACGTGGTTTGAATGTATCAGCATGCTGGTGATCCTGCTGAACTGCGTGACCCTCGGCATGTACCAGCCCTGCGACGACATGGACTGCCTGTCAGAGCGCTGCAAGATCCTGCAGGTGAGGCCGGCGGCCCCGCCCCGCCCACTCCGCCNATAAAAAACCTGCAGAATTAGAATCTCTGAGGTGGGTCTGGGGTCCAAGTGGGTATCAAGCTCCTGGGCCTGCCCCAGGGTCCTGGGTGGAGTTAACCTCAGTGGGTACTAGACTGGTTTCCCTACCAGGTGGTGAATTTAGCGAGCATTCATCTCTGGGCCCCCAACACCAGCCTATGAACTGCACAGAGAAGGTGCTCAGTGTCCATTTGTTGAACTGAATTGTCTTTAACCTTCACTGATCCTGGAAAGAGGGATTCCACCCAGGCCCCATCCTCGGGCAATAGACATTCACTTGAGCCCATGATGACAGCCGTATTTGGGGGCTTTGTTTCTGAGCAGAGGAAGACAGCACGGGGACCTGAGCCCAGAGCGAGTGTCAGGCCTGTTTTGAGAAAGCCCCTTCCATGTGCATTTAGGAGTCAGAGAGACCTGAGTGTCATTTCTTCCCTTCACTGTTGTGGGAACTGTGGTGAGGTTCTGAAGCAGTGTGAGTTCCCGGTTCCTCATCTGTTAAATGACAGCATTCAAGGGGTCGCTGAGAGAACTGAAGAGAGGATGCAGAGCGAGGGTCCTGCCCAGGGCATGGCCGTTATTAGGGAGACCTCCCTTCGCCCGCTGTCATCTGGGTCCCTTGTCATTGTGCTTGCTTTTAGGGAACAATTAGAGGGGGCTGGAAAACCCTGGGCAAACTCATTCCCCACTCTAGGCCTCAGTCTCCTCCTCTGCGAAATGAACGCCTTGGACTAGGATCTCAGGTCCTCTCCCGGACCGGGAGAAGATGTTTCCAGGCCTGTCCCTGGCCCTCGTGTTCGTGCCCGTGCTCCCACCTCGCACCGCGGCTCCACCGTGTCCTGCTCTGGGACCTCACGCTCTCCCTTGCTTCTTGTCTTCCTCCTGCCCCTGCAGGTCTTTGATGACTTCATCTTTGTCTTCTTTGCCATGGAGATGGTGCTCAAGATGGTGGCCCTGGGCATTTTTGGCAAGAAGTGCTACCTTGGGGACACATGGAACCGACTGGACTTCTTCATTGTCATGGCAGGGTAGGTAGACCATATCAGACAGGTCCTAGCCTCTGATGCATGCAGACATCATGTAAATAATCTCTGGGGCTTCTTGGTAATAATGATAAAGCTGTGCGTTATTGTCTGGATTCCTCCTGGACACCTGTGATGGAAGGAATGATGTCCCTTTCCTTAATGGCCTGGACAAACAGACATTCCTTCCTCCTCATTCTGGTGAACTGTATGTCTTCCTACACTGTCAGCTGATACTGGGTCTGTTTTACTCTAACTAACTGTGACCTTACAAAAGCCACTTAACCTCTCTAAACCTGAGTTTCCTCATCTGTGAAATGGGGATAGTGTATAATGAAGGATAGCTCCATTAAAGTGAGCACCCAATAAATGTGAGCTATTATTATTATCATCCTAGATCACTCAGCAAGTTAGAGATCCAGCATGGACTCTACTGTCTGACTCCAAACTGTGGTTATTTCTGCCAAGACCTAAGCTATAGTCAGAAAGAGGTCAGGGGACAACTTAACCTGTTTGGAGCATCTTGGACTCTGCTCTGTGCCTTGTCTTTCCTTTCCTGGGTTAAACCGGGCTAGAGGCCCATCCACACATTCATCCAACAGTCAGCAGTTGACTGAGCTCCTACTAAGTGTCAGCACTGTCTTCAATGCAGGGCAGGAAGGATGGCAAATCTAGGCATAAACTTTATCCTTCCCAAGTACCAGCTGGAGAGAGGCATTCAGCAGCTACACGAGTGAACGTGCCACATGCTGAGACCAGGGCTCTGGGAAAGTGTTATGATTCTCTGAGAGCATCTTTGGGCCAGACTGGCGGCTTGGGGATTTGACAGCTTGCCTGAACAGCTGGAAGATGGGCAGGTGTTAACCATGCCCAGTAATGGTCAATATGGCAGAAGTGAAAAGCGGGGACAAAAAGGCTAGAGACTCATGAGTGTGTGTGTGAGTGTGTACTCATGTCAGTGTCCATGAGAGCATGTGCATTTGCAGACATGTGTGTGCCAACATACGTATGTGATGCCCTCGAGAAGTGGCAGGGAGGGTGGCCAGGCACCTGGCTGAGATGGGAAGTCAGTATCACCATGTACGCACTGAATTCTGCGGATGTGTCCTGAAGGGCAGTGGTTTGCTCACTGGTGTTCTTTAAAACTTGACAGTATCCTTTCCTCAGAGCTGTATTCAGTTCTACAGCCACATTATCAGCGATGATTTAGACCAAATTAGAAGTTAAACTGGGTCCCTACGTGGGACCTGTGTCACCCTCTGTCAGATTCTTCCTTCTCTTTCTCATCTTGGTTTGGCTGGAGGACATCCTTAAGTAGTTTGTTTTTTCTTTTTAATTGGATTGGCCAGAAAGTTCATTTGGGTTCATTTCCATCACATGTTAAGAAAAAACCCGAAAGAACCTTTTGACCAACTCAATAAAAAGAAAAGGTGTTTGGATAGTGTCATTTTTCAGTCTTGCCTGTCCAAGCATATATCCCGTTGATCTTGGTGGGTGAAGGGCAGTTTTCTTCTGCACTGCTCTAGAGTCACAGTTTTTCTCCCTCAGAACCCTGCATGTGGTACCATCCAAATCGGCACCATATATTGCCGCCAAGGCCACTATAGATCTGGTTCTTCTTTGTTGGGAGAAACCTGCATTTTCTTTGCTAGATGCTTGAAGGTTTTCTCTTTACCTTCAGAATTCAGACATTTCACAAGGACAAGTATTAAGTAATCCTTCCTTAAGTGAAGGATTGCTTCCGGTGGGGCCTTTTGGAACTCAAGACTTGTGCATCCTTCAGGTCAGAAAAAAATTATTCTGTATCTTCTTTGGTGACTGGCCATTCTTCTCTGCTCTTTCCTAGAATTCCCAGTAAATGGTTATTTCCATCCTCTCTCTATTCTCTGCATGTTTCGTTCACCTCTCGTACAGATGAAATCTGTACTAAGAGAGAATTCCTTGACTTGGCCTTCTGAATCACTAACGATGTCTTTTTCTCAATTTACTGCCCCTAATGGAAGTGTTCATCTCCTCTGTGTCTTTTTAATTCTCAGGATCGCTTGTTGCTCTTGAATTTCTTATTTTTCAGAGCAGCTTGTTTTTATGGATGCAATATTCACTCATATCTCTTCATAAATACAAATTAGGCTTTATTGATCCTGAAGTCAAAGTATAATTTCCAGAAAGTTAAAAAAAAATTACCCTCACACAAATCTTAGAAGGAACATGTATATTACAGATTTATCTGACTCATTAATGAGGAATCAGCAGGATGGTAATCATCAGAATCAGGAAAACAGGCAATGGGAAAAAAACCTGGAGATATGAGGTGCTTAGAATCAAAGCCGGTTAATGGGGTTATAAAACTGTAACCTTTGGGGTTATCTTTTTATATTGGGCAGAATACCACTTACAGTATCTCCAAGTTCACATGTAATTTCATAGCAGCCAGGCCTTTAATTAACAGTAAAGAGTGAATCAGACCAAGGTGTGTTCCCCCAGATAATGAAATAGTCTTTAGATGGGTCTGTTAAATAATGCTCCAAATGACATCACCAGAAATGCTGCCCTTCCTTTGCAAAGTTCCACATTTTAGGATGATTTTTCTTAACTCCTGTTTCAGGGAAGTCATTTGTTTTGCTGGCTCCACTGACTGCCTCCTTTGAGTGCCCCCGCCCTGCCCTTTTGCCTTGAAGAGTTTCCTCTATTGCTTAGTGGTTCCTCTCTGTCTGCTCATATTTATAAAAAGAGACAATAAAGATCTAAACTGAGTGGTCTAAGGAGCTGGATTGGCTTCAGCATTGTGGCGAGGTCTCCGTTTGATATCTTCTCTTGGTCTTCGGGGTGGAGACAGCACGGGGGTGGGGTCCACAGACCAGCAGCCTCCTGGGGGGTCAGGGAGGACGGGTACATGTGCAGGCCCTTAGGGCCCCATACGTGGTTTCATGCTCTGCTTTCATCAGTCTGAAATTCTCTTTTCTTTTTTTAGTGGTTGTTGGTCTTCCACAATGGAATTCTTTCTTTGAAAATTTTTTATTGGAGTATAGTTGCTTTACAATATTGTGTTAGTTTCTGCCGTATCAGCAAAGTGAATCAGCTATATATGTATACATATATCGTCTCTCTTTTGGATTTTCTTCTCCTCGAGGTCACCACAGCGCACTGAGTGGAGTTCTCTGTGCCACACAGGCAGTTCTCATTAGTTATCTCTGTTACACGTGGAAGCCCCACTTTATACGTAGTAGTATATCTGTGTCAGCCCCGATCTCCCGATTCTTCCCGCCCACCCCTTCCCCACCTTGGTGTTTGTGCATTCGTTCTTTACGTCTGTGTCTCTGTTTCCACTTTGCAGACAGTTTCATCTATGCCCATTTTTCTAGATTCTGTATATGTGTGTTAACATGTAATATTTGAAATTCTTTTCATAAAAAGATTTTACTTTATATTATCTTTTTCTTACTCTTGGCTGTGCTGAGTCCTTGTTTCTGTGCGCGTGCTTTCTCTAGTTTGGGCGAGCAGGGGCGACTCTCTGGTTGTGGTGCGTGGGGTTCTCAAGGCAGTGGCTTCCCTTATTTCGGAGCATGGCTGTAGATGCCTGGGCTGCAGTACTTGCAGCACATGGGCTCAGTCGTTGTGAAGCTTAGTTGCCCTGAGGCATGTGAAATCTTCCCCAACCAGAGATCCGACCTGCATTCCCCTGCATCGGCAGGCAGACTCTTATCCGCTGTACCAGCAGAGAAGTGCGGAAATTCTTAATACACTTTGAACAGGGGTCCTATGTTTTCACTTAGCACTGGGTCCTGGAAGTTATGTAGCCAGTCTTGGCTTGGCAGCGGGCTCAACAGAGACATTTTTGTAAGCCATGAACAGCCCCATGTGGGATGCTGGGAACTCTGGTAACCCAGAGTTCTGGGTCCTTCCTGTCCTTTGTGCCTAGGGGTGATGTGGGTGCAGAAGGCAGGAGGGGGAGCCACGAGCCTGGGCTTCAGAGCCCAGTCCCAGTCCCACCCAAACCCCCAGCTATAAATGTCCTGTTTTCTGAGCAACAGGCCTGCCATCCTGAGGACGTTTTCTTCCTTCCTGCTCCTCCTCATCCCCAAATTGCTGGCTCCTTTTCAGGTGACAGAGGAGACAGAACCTCTACACTGGAAGGTGCCTGCAGGGGTTGGCGTCTTCACCTCCGTATCCAGTCAGCCCCTGCTTGCGTGCCGCCGCTGGGGGCAGCTCACAAGGTAGCCGATTGCAAACTGGGACAGCGTTTGTTGTCCAGAGTCGTGTCCGGCTCTTTGCGACCCCATGGACTGCAGCTCGCCAGGCTTCCCTGTCCTTCACTATCTCCTGGAGTTTGCTCAAACTCATGTCCAGCCTAATGTGCTGGAAAGTTCTTTCGAGGAGTTTGAAATTTGTCTTCTTGTAGCTCCTGCCTGATGGTGGATCTTGTCACTTACTCATTGACAAAGTCAGCATTTATTGAGCACCTACTGCACACCAGGTGCTACGCAGGGGGCACACGAAAGGAACAAGACAGATGCTTCTGTGATTTCATGAAGCTTACAATTTAGGAAACAATATAAAACAGATAATAAAGTTCTAGATAAATTCTACATTGGAACCAAAGCTGTTGCAGCAAAGTAGAGAGGGCCGTGAGGGAGTGGAATGTGTCTGTATACAGCTTCCTGAGGAAGAGAGGCCTGGGGGTAAGAGTTGACGAGCAGGGGCTTGGGGAGGGTGTCTTGGGTGGAGGGGACAGCACGCAGGGGGCCCGAAGGGGCTGTTTGAGGAAGAGGAGCTGTCAGAGACCAGGGACCCGTGGGGTGGGTGGATGCTTAGAGATGAGGCCAGAGAAGGGGCAGGGGCCTGATGGCCCAGAGGGGCCTGGAGTCCCTGGGCAGTGTGTGTGTTAGTGGCTCCGTCGTGTCCGGCTCTTTGCGATCCCATGGACTGTAGCCCACCAGGTTCTTCCATCCATGGAATTCTCCAGGCGAGAATACTGGAATGGATTGCCATTCTGGCAGGGGTGTCCC